ACATATTTAAATAATTTTAACAATATGCAAATTATACAGACCCAAAATAAATATAACTTATTGTAAATGTGATTGCATTCTTCTCATATATATTGTCCATGTGATTCAATTTTAGTAAATTTTAAGCTAAGGTTAAAGCTTGGAATCATTCCCTATCCATGTGATTCAATTTTAGTAAATTTTAAGCTAAGGTTAAAGCTTGGAATCATTCCCTAATGCTTAAAAATCATAATAGAAATGGTGAGAAATTAAAATTTGCCATGTTTAACAAAGATTTTTGATTGAAAATAATAAATTAGTAATTGAAATGAAAAGGTTAGAAATATAAAGAAGAATGTTTTGATGGATGAATATTAAATTCAATTAATTTTATGAAAATAAAATATAATTATTGTATTTATAAATATATATAAAAGTAAGTATGTACTGTAATTAAATGATATCTACCTAGGTGACATTAGATGAAAACAAAATGGATGGATGACAAGATGAGACAAAGAGAAAAGGTATGACAAGGTGCAATAGTGAAGAAAAATGGCTTATAGTTGATAATGATATAGTATCCATATTTAGATATATCAAATAATTTTAGAACTTTTGAAAAATTTCAGCATTCTCATTTCTATTTCTTAAATGAAATGAAATTTTTGTTTATCACAAAATAGATTGGTCATTTATCGGTCAATTGACCAATAGACCAAGCTCTTCTGAAAGAAGAGATGATACTATGATTAACAAAATTTTTTGCATATTAATTTCATGAAGAAGTGTTAATTTTAATGAAGAAATTAAAAATTTTTTCCATGATTGTGATTAATTTTTTTTTTTTTTTTTTTGAAAGAGGATACTATCAGCTATATGACAACAAATTTTTAGGTAATTGTTTTTTAATTGAAATTGGAAATGAAATATATGAAGGTGAGATAAGAGAGACTTTTTTCTAAACAAAAATTTATTTTAAAAAAATGTTACTGTGAAGTGGTTACTTGAGGATAATTTCTTGAGGATAGTTTGCTTGACAATGAATTAATGACAACAGTTGATGACAGCTAATATAAGTATTTGGAGAATACATATAATTTCATTGATTTTAATTTCTTGAGGATAGTTTGCTTGACAATGAATTAATGACAACAGTTGATGACAGCTAATATAAGTAATTGGAGAATACATATAATTTCATTGATTTCACTGATATTTGCTAATTTTAGAAACTTTAAAATTTCACTTACAAAGACAATTTTTACAAAAGCAATTTTGTAAAAAGCATAAAAAAATTATTAAATTTTATTGAAAACTTTTGTCAAAAAAAGAAAATGAAGTTAATAAAATGAGCAAAAAGCACGAATACATTAGCTTAAAACTATCAATCTGTAACTATTAACCTAAAACTATTTTGTAAGTTACTGAACTTTGTTAATAACACAATGGCTTAGTTTAAAATTTTTAATTTTAAATTTAAAAATCATTTTTTTTTTCAGAAAAAAAATTCTTCGAAATTGTTGTAATTGTTTGCTTTCCGTTTTCTCTGCTATCATTGATTTGTCACAGTGATGTATTCATTCATCCGAAATATGTCACTTTTTTTTTCCATTTTTTTTTTTAAAAACTCTTTTCAAAAAATGTTTTCAGTAAAATTCTTCAAAAAAAAAAAAAAGAAATTAAAAATCTTTTTTCTTCTTATGATATAAAGTTTTTCACATATTATTTTAAAAGTATGTTATGTGTACTCTCTTATAAAGGATATTTATTTTTAATTGTCATTGTTTATTTTCATTAACGGTTCAAATTTTTAAATTTGCATTTTAACGTTTACACGTAATTTTCAAATATACACGTCCTAGAATAAAAAAAAATTAGGCATATCCATACGGTAAATATTTAATTTAATTTTAAAAGATGAAAATAATTTTAAAAAATAATTAATTCAAGATAAGATGTGAAAATTAGACTAATGAGAAGAGAGCTAATAAAAAAGGTTTAATGAAATTTATCAAATAAGCGGAAAGAAATAATGTTAATTAATCGAAAGATCACTTCGTTTTCTTTTTTAACAAATCATAACATTCATAAAATGTAATGAAATGAAACAACAACTATTCCTTCGATAAATTAATCAGCAATTTCTTTCATAATAAAATACTCTCATAAAATTTAAAAGTTTCTTTAATACAATGTTATTAAACTATTAACTAAAATGTAAGCATAGTAAATGATAATTGATAAGATTATAAAAATTGCACTAAAACTTATCAATGATGTGATAATAGATTGAAATTTTCAAATGATTAGCTATAAACATCTATAAAATTTTTCAGTCATATCATATGCTTAAAATACATCAGAATGACGTGTAATACTAACGTATAGATTAAAATGCAAAAGCATGCAACTTGCAAAAATCTATTCTGCAATCATCAACTTGCACATCTATGCAGATGGTTTAAATCATTTTATGACAGCAAAAAAAAAATAATTGTTTCAAGAATAACAAAGAGAAGAATTGAAAATTTTAAAAGATAACAATAATAGTGGAGAAAAAGAAAATGAAAAATAAAAAAAAAGCAATAAGATGGAGAGAATTAAAATAAATTATATGTAGAAAAATGATTAGAAAGTATAAATGAGATTAATGGGCAATCGATCGAAGCATAATATTCACTGATAAGAATGAGAGAATGAATTTTTGTTAAACATTTAAATTCGAGAAAAAAAAAGTGCGAAAGTCCATTATCATTCATATCATTCATTTATCTTTATCATTTCCAACTTATCGTATTTTACATTATTTTAATGCTTATCAGTTAATCTTCCTTTTTCCTTTATCAATAAATTTAATAAGGTTGATTTAATTAATTCATATCATTTATCTTTATCATTTCCAATTTATCGTATTTTACACTATTTTAACGCTTGTCAGTTTATCTTCTTTTTTTCCTTTATCAGTAGATTTAATAAGGTTAATTTAATTGACTCACATCACTTACCTTTATCATTTCCAATTTTATCTTGTTTTACGTTATTTTAATGCTTATCAGTTTATCTTCTTTCTTTTCTTTTATCAGTAAATTTAGCAAGACTAATTTAATTAATTCACATCATTTATCTTTATCATTTCCAACTTGTCGTATTTTACATTATTTTAATACTTATCAGTTTATCTTCTTTTTTTCCTTCATCAATAAATTTAATAAGGTCAATTTAATTAACCCATATCATTTACCTTTACCATTTCCAACCTTATCTTATTTTACATTATTTTAATACTTATCAGTTTATCTTCTTTTTTCCTTTATCAGTAAATCAATTTAATTAACTCACATCATTTACCTTTATCATTTCCAATCCTATCTTATTTTACATTATTTAATACTTATCAGTTTATTTTCTTTTTTCCTTTATCAGTAAAGTTAATAAAGTCAATTAATTAACTT